TGACAATTTACTATTTATCGTGTTATACGGTGAAACGTTTCACCTTATAACGTGATGACTTCTATTGTTTACACAACGGCATGTCATTTCTGTCTTTACATGGTCGTGCTTTACAATCCTCCTCTGCTCTCTGTATCGCGCACGGCGGAGTTCGGCCCCGATGCGCACACACACACAGACACAGGTGAGCACACTAGAGCGCGGCTTGCAGCGCATTTTCCCGAGTCCAAGACATCTATAACCAAGCCCGGCCTGAACCCACAGCACGGCACTGTACACACAGTCTATGGAGCCGACCCTGTGTTGTGTTCAGGCGTTGTCACATAAATAACAAATTCCAGCACTTGAATAGGCCATTTATTCTTTATTCCACTAAATTAGACATCTTTGTTGGTCAGTCATTAAAACGGAAGCGAGTTTTACACGCATCACCCGGCAATTTAAATGTGCATACTTAATTTAATTAGGGCAAGCCACATTGCAAGCCCCACAATGTGAATATTGCACACGTGTGCATCACGATGGCGAGACATATCGTTCAGGCCTAGTTGGTGGTGTTTCCGCCCTTGCATGTAATTACGGTGCTGTATAAATTGCACGTCGCACTGTTAGTCTTTTTTGATGAAGTGAAGCCTTGCTTTCGACAGCTTCTGTCTCTCCCCCATTACGTCGTCTTTGTTGTTGAATGTGCTGCTGACTGACGAGCGTGACGTGCATCATCAACATAAAGATTTGGCATAATGAAAAGAATCAATAAGGGAATCGAAGTGGTTCTCAATTCCCATCCCTAGTTTTCATCATGTTCACATTCATACCACACGATGCAAAGTGTTTCCTACTTCAGCGGCATTTAAAATCCAACCTTGTTAAAGATTATGATTAAAGGCTTCAAAGGGCTCTCAATGCACACACTATTTTTTGGGAGGTTTTTTTTTGAGTGGTTTTTAGAGTAGTCGACTAGTCTTAATTAAAATCGTTTAGTCGACAGGGAAATTAGTCGCCAGGAACATCCCTGATTATGTCCACATCGTCCTCAGCCCTTCTGTTGAAACCTGACGCTTTTTTTTTCCTGGTTAAAGCTGAGGGGTGTACCACTTTTAACCTGGCTAGATTGCCATGGTAACTTATGTAGCAATTCTAACCTGTTTGGGATCAGTTTTTTTTCTGAGTTTTGACTTGAAATCTGCTAAAAGACACCTTTCATAGCTCCTTAGAGTAGCATCACATGTAGGCAAAATTCAATATAAGAGCGATACAGATTTTCAGCTTAGGGAATACACCATCAATGCACTTCATCCAGCTTGTGAAGCCCAATGTTACATAAATGCCCCTGAACGAGGTTGTGCAATTACAGTAGTGATCAATGATGCAAATGCAAAATCACAGGTAGCATACATTGATTGTTCACTGTATTATTAACCGGGATGACATTTACTCGCATATGAAATGCGGTATCATTTCTTCAAACCATACAATATTATCACCACTTTGAATTATGCCTTTATGCTTGGTCCTGATTGCTGAAATCCATTTTCCACTGCAGTTTATAGATTAGTCTATTGGGGTTGATCACAAAAATTTTCAATCATTAAATTAGTGCTGCACGATTTGATAAAAATGTGCGATTGCGATTTGAGTGGACAATATCGCTATTTGCGATTGCGATTTCAATATAATAATAATAGTAATAGGTGGTCACATGACCATACGTGCTGCACACACCAGGATAGCTTGTGGATGTGATGCCAACAAACTCCACACACTACAGGACAGGTAGTCATGTTCACAGGCACACACATTAACAAATCGCAAATCGCAGCCTTTTATGCGGTTATGTAATCGCACAGCCTGACATCGCGATTGCGATTAGATTAATCATGCAGCACTACATTAAATTCAGTACACTTTGATTGGTCCGAAAACTAAAGGGATTTCCATGTCTCCTTTATTACGGGATAGTATCAGACCTCAATGTAGTTCTTGAGTATCATATTTAAATCTGCTGCATCAAATTTGAATCTTTAAAGCTGCATGCGGAATGTGCAGCTGTCACATTCAAAATAAATGGAGAGGTTAAATAAATAGGTTATATCAATTTGTGAATTCATACAGTTCGTCATTTTCTTCAAGCATTCCTCTCTCACCTCAGTTGAAGCAATATTGTTGCTTTTTACTGTAATGCTTTCTTAATAATAGACTTGCAGCGATTAAAATTTTTTGACCACTTTACAGCACACAAGATATTGCAGTATTTTCTATCTTTCCTTTATTAGAGCATTTTAAGCAAGACACAACCAGCTTTTCAATAATCATCTCAAACAAACAAACAAAAACAGTGACACAGGTTAAGAAACATTTTCCTTTTTGCTCAAATATAACTTCAGGTACAGTATTAAAATAAATAAGTAAAAAAGGCATCCATACATAAAAACATAGATAAATAAAATAATAACTCTTGGTTTATAGCATTTGCAAGTAATTTCTTGAATAGACAAAAATTCCATACGACCGACATGGTGTAGGTCGCCTGTACGAAAGGATCTTCGGCACGTGGACACGCGCCTCGTCAATTTCAAGCGGCACAGTGCAGCAGTGAGAGCTCAGCAGTTAAGTTTAACACGGGCAATTAGCAACTTTCTCCTTCTCTCTTTTGATGTGTGTGCGTGAATGATTAAGGTGAGAAGCCATATTTGTAAGAATTGAGTGTAAAGCTATTTTTCCTTTTGTTTATTTCAGAACCACACACATACACACTTGTTGCGAACCTCCTGCATTGAAAATTAAAGTATTCTTTCAAACTTGATTCTCTGGCCGGAATCATTTACTCCACAGTTGTCCTACCCAAACCAGTGTGTCCCTGAGGTCCCCTTCCTCACATCGCCCAAGCTGTGAATTGCACACGTGCGTGTGTGTGAGCTGCTGATGTCACTGGATGTCAATCATGTGGCGCGGTGGGAATTTGACCAGCGTTTTAAATCAGCATATTTTAGACTGACTGGCCGGTCGCAGGTCATGGCTGATCACGTGAAAACCGGCCCGATTCCGAGCACTGCCGATTAATCAGTGCAAGTCTACTTAATAACCTTGAAAGACAGAAGTAGACATCATGCAGCTGATCAGTTTTTCATGGGAACACACTAGGGCTGGGGCGACGCAAATTATTTGCGTCGACGCGTCGGTTCAAACAAAAAAATGGCGGCGTGCAGCAGCAGCAGTGCTGTGCTACTGTGCTATGGCCAAATTAAGTGCTGGAATTTGTTATTTACGTGACAATGCCTGAATGCCTGCCGCTCCATTGACTGTGTGCACAGTGCTGTGCTTGCGGGTCCGGGCTGGGCTCGGTTATAATTGTTTCACTCGGGTTGTTTTTGGTCAGGAAAATGCAACCTGAACTGCGCTCTAGTGTGTGTGTGTGTGTGTGTGTGTGTGTGTGTGCGTGCGCACATGTTTGTGTGCGTTTGTGCGCACATCAGGGCAGATCAACGTCATGCGCGTTACAGAGAGCAGTGGAGAATTGTAAACGTGCGACCATGTAGAGACAGAAATGACATAAGATAAATAACATAAGGCTATTTAATTTATTTAATAAAAGGACAAGGTATAGACCTGTTCTATAGGAAAGGTAACCTTAAATGATGTTAATGTTAATAAGAAATGTTTTGGTATTCATATTGTTTAAATTGCCTCATTTATCAAATAATGGAAAAATAATCGACAAACGAAAAAATAATCGTTAAACTAATTGAAAAATTAATCATTAGATTAGTCGATTAATCGAAAAATTAATAGTTAGATTAATCAAAAAAATAATCACTAGATTAATCACTAGAAAAATCATTTGGGACAGCTCTAGAACACACGGAGAGCCTGAAGCAGAAAGTTAACAGAGACAGTTGATAACCACCTTTGTGGTACCTGTTATGTCTGACTGAGGCTTAAGGGTTTGTTAAGCCAGCTTAGGCAAAGAGAGCCTGACTCTGTTGAACTGGCTTCATAATACAGGCCTCTGGGGTAGGCAGTTTAATTTTGACTTGATTTGACAAAAAGTCCCTTAATAACCTTTTAGTATATTGTAATTAAAGTGGATTGGGAGAAAGCTAGACTTCAGCACCTCTTCTTGACTCTTTTTTTCAGGCTTAAAAAAATTTAGGATGAATCAGACAGTGCCTTTTCCAGATTTTCGCCTATCCCAGCTTTAAGTAGACATTAGGGCTGTCAAAATTGCTCAAAAATGACTTTTGAATATTCCTTCTAAAAATAAGTCATAGGTTCGAACCATTCGAATTTTTTTTTTTCCCCGCATTATGTCCATAAGAGGGCAAACTAATACAAGGAAACATACTTGTAAATGTATTAATACAAGGAAACATAACTACCTGTAGGTATTTTTATTTCAACATAAACGTCTTTGAAAACATTTACATACCTACACATTAAAACACATAAAACAATTATCTATAACATTACGTTATAAACGACCACGGACCTCTCGCTCGCCCCCCCTCTCTGACCCATGGCCACACTGCCCATGTTAACCGATTGTGTCATCCACACCGGCTGCGCCGCGCCGTGCAGCTCTGTTTCTGCGCCTGGTCTATTTTCTGCGCGAGCCGCAAGCGAATGTGTCAAGCCGGGGGGTGACGGAGACAACAGCTGGGAGCAGAACCTCTTGTCGACCAGCAGCACTTCCGCAGGCGGTGTGGCCCTGGCGTTTATGCAGTGCGTTCAGTGCAGCAGCCCAGGCCAACGCACACTCGCAAAGAGGACAGCTGCAGTGGTGGTTTTTTTCCTCCACAATCAAATATCAATTTTCACATTCGAAGGTCCATTCTGTTTTTTTCAAATTCGAATTTAGAATATTCGTTGACAGCCCTAGTAGACATACATTATTTTGTATGGTATTGTAAATACTGAGTAGTTCAACTATCTACATTTATAAGTGCTGATGTTTGTCCTCTTTTTTTTTTTTTTTTTTTTTTTAAAATCCTTTTCTTCTACAGCGGCCTCTGGAGGAAGACACTCCCTCTGCCATATGTGAGCTCCTCCCTGCGTTGGAGCGACGGGATGGACTATCAGGAAGCAACAGTCTGTACCACATGAATCTGTCTGACCCGTTCACTCTGACTCTACTGTGTCCAAACAGTAGTGCTGAGTTGCCCAGTCAGTCCAGTCCCACACATTGTGTGGCAGTTGGCAGCAGGACAGCCAACAGCAAAAGAATTATTGACAGATCATCATCACCTTCATCAGGCCAGTCGACTAAGAAGGCTAGACTCAGGACTGCCGACAGGCAGCCACTGGCCCAGCACAATGCAGAGGAAAAACAGAAGGAGTCCAATAACGTCTCCCCCATTCTCCCGCAGCATAACAAGACCACAGTGTGTGTGTGCTGAAACACACACACAGACATTATCAACCTGCTGCCTCCCACTGTCAGCCTTGTCTCCAGTGGTGTTTCTGTTCCTTACGTTTGCAGTTGTCCTGCACTTTCTCACAGTTTAAACCAGCCTTGCTGTAGGGACTATGGAAAAGACTTGTCGTCTTGTTCAGCACTAGTACAATACTCATTTAAAGTTTATGGAGTGCTCACTTTTACATAACATTTTGTGTCTTTGTTTTAAAATTCTTTCCTAAAATGCTGATTAAATGTGTCTTACGCCACCTTTTTCTGGTAACAGTTGTATGAAATAAGTATGATTAATGATCCTTGTGTAAATATTATGTGTTTTGTAGTTGAGTATTGAGTCAAACCTTTCATTTAAAACAAATAGATATTTTTTTATACATTCTTTTATTGTTTGATGTTAAAACATGAACTTAAGCAGAGTTCCACCACAGTTTTCATATTGTTTTTACTCTCACCATATATCATTGTGTGCACACTCTGTGTTTAACCCTATTTATGTATTTTTATTCTCATTATTTTATTTGATCACTGGAGATTTGTCTTGAATATAAACTGAAGGTGCTGCTACAGTCACGAACCAGTAAGCTACTACATTGTGTATATTGATATATAAATATATGTGATAAGTGTTTGCAGCATTTTTTTTTCTTTGCGTATGCATTTGAAACAACCCATTGGCCCCTGTGAGGTTTCAAATAATAGAAACATTTAAGTTTCAATTGCACAATGCATCTTAAGGAATAGATCCCCTCTTAATCATATTGTATAATTGTAATTTGTAATGAAACCTTATGGTGGAGGGTTTTTTTTTTTTTTTTGGTGTCTTCACTTCCCCTGAGCCAGCTCCACCCATTCATACATCAGGTAGTTATTTTCTGTGTGTCCTGAAAAGTTGGTATGTCTGTCTCTAAAATGATGGATTTCTCCCTGTGTTTGTTACCTCCAGGTGGCTCTTAAACAAAGACTTCCTTTGGTTCTGGGGGATCTACAAAAAATCTGAGGTTTACAATCAATGTTCATGATTATTTTGTGTTGCCGGACTTCGACTGTGGCTGCACTTGATGTATAAGTGAATTTCATGTTGTCTATGTTTGACCACACGTCTGTGACAATAAGAAAAATGCTTAATCTCAGGCATGTTGCTCCCAATAGATGGCATTGTCTCGCATCACCAGTCTATCCTACCACCTTGTTTTATCTGTTTTGCTACAAGGCAATAGCAGTTTTTTCTGTTTTGTTGAGGTTGACTTAGAGGTTCCTTTAGCATTTTCCTTGTACAAGCCATTGTCCCTCCATGTTGCAGCTTCAGTTGTATGGTTACTAATGTATGCACAAGGTTCATTGGTGAGTAAATACACAATGCATGGACTTAGGAGAATATTTTGCACTATTATGGTGACCTTAATTTTGTTTAAGAAAAATATTATTTTTAATTTGAAAATGATTCAGCTAGGAAAGGATGACATCATTGGAGTCTAAAATGAAAACCGCAAATATAGGATATTTGAAGTAAAATAATCAAACTATTTTAATTTCAATTATGTAGAAGGGAATCCTCATTAATGTGAGTAGAGTTTGCAGAACATGGCTGTTAACCCTTTTGTTACTGACAAATGATTCAGATGAGAAATATTCATGAGAGAATAATGATCATTACAAATAAGAAACATTTCAGTCTTTGTAAAACCTTGTTACATGATGATGACATTTTATTGAGCTAAGTGCAATTTCTAACAGGAATTTGTAGCATCATGGATTGGTTCAAAACTATTGTACATAGTGATAATGTTGATGTTTGACTCGTTCCCTCTGCAAATACAGTCTGTTACTTTGCTCGGGATTCCCATACGCGTTTTCTATACTTTTTTGGAGATTTCTCAGAAGTCTTGGTATACTCATTTACTCTGCTGAATAATTACATCCTTGATTCAGATAGCTGTGCTAACAGCATAAAGTCCATGTGTACAGTGTAAATGTGAAAAACACTTATCTGGAAATGAACCTATTTAAATAAAAAACTCTCTTAAGTAAAGTCATAGCTGCTTTGCAAGTAAATAGTGACATACAGTGCCCTCCAAAAGTATTGGAACAGTGAGTCCAATTCATTTACTTTTGTTGTAGACTGAAAACATTTGGGTTTGACATCAAAAGATGAATATGAGACAAGAGATCAACATTTCAGCTTTTATTTCCAGTTATTTACATCTGGATCTGATACACAACTTAGAAGATAGCATTATTTGTAATGGAACACAAAATTTTTAGGTGAGCAAAAGTATTGGAACATATAAACTTAAAATAGATTAAAGTGAATGAGACTTAATATTTAGTTGCAAATCCTTTGCTTTCAATAACTGCATCAAGCCTGTGACCCATTGACATCACCAAACTTTTGCATTCTTCTTTTGTGATGCTTTTCCAGGCTTTCACCGCAGCCTCTTTCAGTTGTTGTTTGTTTTGGGGGGTTACTCCCTTCAGTCTCCTCTTCAGCAGGTAAAATGCATGCTCTATTGGGTTTAAGTCTGGAGACTGACTTGGCCAGTCTAAAACCTTCCACTTCTTGCCCCTGATGAACTCCTTTGTTGTTTTGGCAGTGTGTTTTGGGTCGTTATCTTGCTGCATGATGAAGGATCTCCCAATCAGTTTGGTTGCATCTTTCTTTAAATTAGCAGACAAAATGTTTCTGTAGACTTCTGAGTTCATTTTGCTGCTGCCATCATGTGTTACATCATCAATGAAGATGAAAGAGCCCGTCCCAGAAGAAGCCATGCAAGCCCAAGCCATGACATTACCTCCACCGTGTTTCACAGATGAGCTTGTATGTTTGGGATCATGAGCAGATCCTTTCTTTCTCCAAACTTTCGCCTTTCCATCACTTTGGAAAAAGTTAATCTTTGTCTCATCAGTCCATAAAACTTTTTCCCAGAATTTTTGAGGCTCATCTCTGTACCTTTTGGCAAATTCCAGCCTGGCCTTCCTATTCTTCTTGCTAATGAGTGGTTTGCATCTTCTGGTGTAGCCTCTGTACTTTTGTTCATGAAGTCTTCTGCGAACAGTAGATTGTGATACCTTCACTCCTGCCCTCTGGAGGTTGTTGCTGATGTCACTAACAGTTGTTTTAGGGTCTTTCTTTACAGCTCTCACAATGTTTCTGTCATCAACTGCTGATGTTTTCCTTGGTCTACCTGTTCGACGTCTGTTGCTTAGTACACCAGTGGTTTCTTTCTTCTTCAGGACATTCCAAATGGTTGTACTGGCTATGGCCAATGTTTGTGCAATGGCTCTGATTGATTGTCCATCTTCTCTCAGATTCACAATTGCTTCTTTTTCACCCATAGACAGCTCTCTGGTTTTCATGTTGGTTCCACCTCTAAATGCAGTCTGCACAGGCAAAACCTATCGTACCCAATCTGAAACTGAGCTCAGACATTCAGTGCTATTTATTGTTTGAATAATCAATGTAATTGGGAGACACCTGGGCAACAAAACACACCTGTCAGTCACATGTTCCAATACTTTTGCTCTCATGAAAAATGGGTGGGTTCAAACAAAAGGTGCTATCTTCTAAGTTGTGTATCAGATCCAGATGTAAATACCTGGAAATAAAAGCTGAAATGTTGATCTCTTGTCCCATATTCATCTTTTGATGTCAAACCCAAATATTTTCAGTCTACAACAAAAATAAAGGAATTGGCCTCACTATTCCAATACTTTTGGAGGGCACTGTATTAGGGTTCAAGCCCAAAGGTCTAGAACCTTATTGTTTTTGTGCTAGTTTGTTATTTCTATTTGTTACCTTTCACCGTGACTCCAATTGCTGTGAGCTGAAACAAACTAGAACATGAAACTTGGTGCAGTAACTGGAAATGGTGCGCAAATGTTTCTCAAGCAATATGACCCAATTATGCTATGCTACATGTTGGCGCTATAATTTACCTCAGGTGGCACAGTGGTGCAGTAGTTAGCATTGTTGCTTCACAGCAAGAGGGTTGCTGGTTTGAACAAGAAATGGGGGAGCCCCTCTGCAGAGTTTGTATGTTCTCCCTGTGTCAGCATGGGTTTTCTCCTGATGCTCTGGCTTAATTGGCTGTAGGTGTGAATGGTTGTCTGTCTCTTATGTGTCAGCCCTATCGTAGTCTGGCGACCTGTTCAGGGGGTACCCCGCCTCCTGCCCGATGTTAGCTGGGCAGGCTCCAAATAAATAAGCAAAACTAGTAAAAAAAAAACAACAAAAAAAACATGGCAGCTTTCAGCACAAAAATGGCCATAACTCATTAACAAAATATTTAATTATGATAAATGCCAGTAAATGGGCTCAATAATAACGATTGCCCGATTGCCCGGGGCAAGTAAAACTCAATGTCGGGCATGTAAACTAACAACTCACTTGCCCGATGGGGCAAGTTGCTAAAAATAGTAAAAGTTAATAACTAATTGATAAAATAAATGTATTTTANATTGTTGTGATTGTTGGCAGTTAGGTCATTGATTAGTTGGCTTCACCAAAGCTAAGTGTTTAGTTTGCTAATACTGTTCACAAACACATTCTTGCACACAACTAAACAATCTCTACACTAATCCAGACTGTTTGCAACACACGTCACATTGACATAGACTCATTAACAAACAGGCTTTCAACAGAGCTACACCCAAACAGGCATTTTAAAGTTCCCGCTTCTTTTCCTTTGTCTTTGTCCTGACCACACGGTCAGACAAACACCTCCCCGAAACTGAAGCAGCCTTGATTCGGCCATTTTGGTAGTTCTCTGTTGTCAGCCATTTTGCTTTGTAGGCCAAACGGCTCCTTGATCACCACACCCGCCTTTGTCTTTCTCTTCTTTCTGTCTCTCTCACACACACACATACACACCAAGCTTGTAGTTAGAATTTGTGTGTTTTGGTTTGCTTTGCTAATTTGTGAATAAATATAATTCTTTGGAATCATACCTGCTGACTGTTTAATGTTGCACAAAAGTGAATGAATAGTCAACATCTGCTGCATCAAGAACTCCGAAATCCTTCAGGCATTACTGTTAATTTTGGTTGTTGTCATTAATTTAATTATTAATCAAACTCCAAATTAATAGTTTAGTGTATTTTATGAGACTGATATCTTTAACTGGCTATCATTTTTCCCTTTACGGGAATGGTGCCCCACGAGGTGATTTAATGTTAATTAGGTCACATTATTTAACATAATTATTAATTATTAATAATAATTTTTAATTATTTCCGATAGCCAATTAAATCCCAACATATTTGATGCCTCTGCGTGAAGCCTAACATGTTGACCCCAACATTTATGGTGCCGCCGAGTGAGGTAAATATATGTTGACCCCAACATATTTGGTGCCCCGTAGCGAGGCATAGTACTGTTGACATTCATTCATATTTGTGCAATATTATTATCAGCATACATTTTTGTTTCACACCAAAAATCTTTGATTCCATTCTTAGACTACCCAAAAGTCTTTACATTCACCACTAGTCTGCTACAGCAGTAGACATTCAGCTGTACTTACAAACAAGTACATTGTGGTGAGAATTATTTTATTCACAAAGACAAAGCAATTTGAGAGATATTGTGTAACTGATCACTGCTATCTTAAGCCTCATAGTGTTACACTAGAGTTGCCATTGCTGCTAGCTTTTCAAGTTGACCTACCCTGTAGAAACTTGTAAGATTTTGGTTCAGCATTTGAATACCACGTATTCAATGCAGTCTGGTCAAGCTGTCAAACTTTGCAGTTGATTCTATTGTTCCTGTTTTCCTTTGAAATTCATCACAGCGTGCCACCGGCCCTGTGGCACAGAGAGTTTACGTGAGAACTGGCTGTTACTGCCAAGCATTTCAGCCTAAGTAAAAGAATGAGCAAGAACCACAGTGTGCTAGCCCTGTGAAGTTTGTACCTCGCTGTTACGATCCAAGTTCCAGCTTGAGTTAACTTTAAGAAACAACTCTCTGATACTGCTATGCATTTTAGTTAGTGCATGTTGTTATCTTTGCAGGCAAATTTACTGTCATAAATTCCTGTCCCTAATCTTTGGTGCCTGTTTGTGTTGTAGCGACCCCTCCTCCACGCTACCCCCACACTGAAGGCCAGTACATTCTTTTGTTAGGCTAGTGTTCTCACAAGTTACACTCAAAGGTGTCTGCCAAGCAACACCACAGCCAATTTAACAGTTGACTTGTGCTAGGACAACCTGTTTTAGCCTTACCCTTCTTAAGACCTAACAATGGCGAACCCCTGTTTAGAACAGTTTATCTATTCCATCGCACAGAGCCTAAACTCTGGCTGTCCAGAACTCATCAACAGATTAAGTCTCGGTGAATGCATTGAAGAGATAAACTCTCTACTCAGTGACAACTGTGATGTACAGACGGCATCCAGTAGTACATTGTTAAAATGCTTGCTTCTGATCTTTCACAGGCAAACCACCCTTGCCTTTCAGAGCAAATCAGCCTTAGAAAAGGAGGTAGAAAGTCTTAAGAGTGCAAAATGCTTCCCTCCTCCATGAAGCACAGATGGCTAACAAGAAAGCCATGCGCTATTTAGATGATTTACATTCAGCAGAGTTAGACCTCTGTTCACATAAAGAAGAACTGTTTAGGCTTAGATCAGAACGTCTAGCCCCAGCACAGTCTTACAGCCAGTGTGATTCCGGCTTTTCTGATTTTCACTCTTCCCTGGATGAGAGGTTATCACCTCCTCCTCTCAGTAAGTGGAAATCTTTCCCATCAGACCCTAAGTCTTTGGGAATCAAGTCAGCTCCCCAACCTCCACCAACAGACAGAGGTAACAGTGACCTGACTTCCTATGTCTCAAACACAGATGTTGAGGAAACAGGTAGTTTATCTTCAGGATATTCTGTCCCATGTCTTCCACAGAAACAGAGTTTTGACAATTTCACCCATGCGCAGGGGGAAAGGGGGGTTGAAAACCATTCAACCTCGGCCTTTCACCCTCAGAGACCTGCAGCATGTGATTCACACCTCCTTAGGAATGCTAATTTGGTCTCGCCTTCACCAGAGAGG